AAAGTGCATAGCGAAATCGCAAAAATCTCAGAATTTCGCAACGGGACAGTAATTCATTTCAATCCAGCGGATTTAAGTCCGATTCCATAAGGGATATTAAGGATATAAAGGATTTAAGGGATGAATACGGGAATTCCGCTTAAAAAGAGTAAGCAAAATAAAGCGAACAAGGATAAAGAGAGAATAATAATCCGCGACGAACAAGGAAAAAGAGAGAATAATAATCCGCGAGGAAGAGAGGAGGCCACAACAGGGCCCAACGAGGGAACATTGGCCGTGAGTGTCGTCAGGGCGAGGCAGCCAGACACTTGCTTTTTTTTTGCTTTTCATCCTCATTTCATCTGTTCTTTTCCCTGTTTCTTTGCGTCTCGATCTTTCGTTATTCTTCGCAGGGTTCGGGATGGGTATTGGAGGTCTGAACCGTTGACGGAGAGGAATTTGGTTTTCGTTCGAGTGAAATGATAGGCTTTTCCTCTGGCGAGTCTTGGCCCCCCTCCCCTCCTCTCCCCCCTCCCCTCCCCCCCCCCCGGTGTCCCTCCCTTCCCCTCCCCTCCCCCCCCCTCCCTTCCCTTCCCCTCCCCTCCCCTCCCTTCCCCTTCCCTTCCCCTCCCCTCCCCTCCTCTCCCTCCCCTCCCCCCCCCCCCGTGTGCGTTGCGTGTCCTTGGGCGTCTTGAACAACTTCATTCATTCTGAAGGATTTGTGTTGTCGGTGAACTGCATGTGTATTGTGCTGGTCTTCTGATATACAGAAGTACACAGACGCACGCAAGCACGCACGCACAAACGAAGGCACAAAGCATTCTTGCACTCGCACGCCGCGCGCACACACACACACACACACACACACACACACACACCACACACACAATGTAGTGAAGAATAAAAAAGAGAAACGAAAGAGGAAAAACAGAGAACATTTATTTCCACATCATCAGATCTTGCCACATGCGCCGAACGAGCCAAGACAGAGCCAGCCCCTAAGACCCCACCAACGCCCCCTCTCCCCCCCCCCCCCCCCCCGCATGCGCTCGACGCCCTCCACAGGCAAGCAGACCTCGCGAAGGAAACGGCCTGCCCCTCTGCCTCTCCTCCGCATGACGTCACTCGGCCACGGGTTCCGCGACTCCATTTGGCGTTGACTGCGTGTTGTTGCGTTTGTGCGGCTGACGGTCGGGTGTGCGGTCGGCCTGCCTTTGAAATCGGGGAATCGGGCGGGACAGATTTCTCCCAGAAGTTATCTTTCAATTACCGGTTATGTAGCGTTTATGTTTGAATCTCTTTTCTTGGAAAAATGACCGTATACTAAACATTTTAGATAAAAAAAAAGAAAGATTGTAAACACTTTTTTCCTAGTATGGATTTTTTTTAGCACGAAATATTTTCAGAGTGGTTAGCACAGGAAACTGGCTTTAGTAGGAAAAAAATAGACATATTTACGTAAAAACAGACAGACAGACAGATAAATAAGTACGACATTTAGAAACAAAATACTGTTAACAGCAAGTTATGTTTACAAGAAATACGGTTTTCGGTTACATGCTCCACAGTTGCCATATCAGCTTTCGCGTGAGACCCTCAGGACTATACTGATGAAGATTTACAATGCATGATTCTGAATCTAGAAATATAAGGGACGCGTTTTCCTTTTTTCCAAAGTCGAGGATATGATTTCCTCTTTTCATAATAAACTTGTAAGATTAGTTTATTCAACTATTAAACCAAATGGCGGGAATATATTTGGCTTTTGAAATTTCACGAGTAGGAGATGCGACATTTTTTGGCGGGCTTTTGCGGATTGCTCTTATCGAACGCAACTCGTGTCATCATTCGCATTTGCTCTGAAATAAGGATACATTTCCTCTGTTTTTATTAATTCTTTGTAATTTGCCATTCTCCTTTTTTCCATTTGTTTTTATTAATTCTTCGTAATTTGTCATTCTCCTTTTTTTCCATTATTATTATTTTTTTTTATCTCTTTCTCTCGTTTTTCCTTTTTTCTTTTAGATTCTCCTTAGAGTAATTGCGTATTTTTTCTGCGTTCAGTACATGCAAGTTTATTGATGTTTTTTTTCCTTTTCTTCATAAACTACGTGACATTTTTACCTTCCTTTGGCCGCCTTTTTAATAATGGCCAAAATAATGAATTCTTTACCTGTTTGCTAAAAGGGATAATTACGCCATTTTATGTACTTTATATCATCTTGTAAATAGTTAAATGTCTCTGAGAATTAGATTTTTTTCAGACAGCGCCACCAAAGTCGCTCAGAGAAAGAAAGAAAATAGAAAAGTTTCCTTTTGGTGTTGGTAGAGGTAATGTTATCAGCTGTAGTGATGGTTTACTCCAGATGTTTCATTCCTCTGCCTGCCTCTGCTTTATCCCCTTCCTCTTCCTCCTCTTTTCCCACTCACTCCTTCGTCCAATACTTTCCCTACTCCTTCTTTTACTACTTCTTCTTCTTCTTTTTCTTCTTCTCCTCCCCCTCCCTTCCTACTCCTTCTT